TTCTTTCACATTGTGAAAGGGTGGAAAACACTACACAGGATTCACTCCGGCTCTTTTGACCCCAGCAAGCCACCTAAGAGCTGAGGCCTGAGCACACCTTCCCTGCCTCTCTCTCTCCTGTCCCTTCTGCTCCCCTCCAGCCAGATCCCCAGACATGGGTTCCAAACATTGCCACCTGACCTCCCAGAGGCCCTTCCAGACCTCCCTGTCCTTTGTGTTAAGGTCTCCCCCCAAAAGTTTATGGTTCCAGAAATTTACTTCGAGAACTTTAAAAAATCATTTCTCTGTGAACCAGAGGGGCAGGAAAGCAAGGCAGCATCTCATGGAGGTGGCAAGCACAGCTACTTTGGAGCCCAGGCTCTCCTCTTACCAGTCATATAACCTTGGACAAGTTACAAAATTTATCCCACCTCCGAAAGGGAGCTGTTATGAGCGACAAGGGTAGGACAGCTAGAAAATGCCTCACCCCCACGCCAGGCGCAGAGTAGAGCTGCTCAGCCACGGTGGCGGGGAGGGGGGCCTCCGGGGACTACTGCCACCGTTGGGGTCCAGGTAGGGTGGATGGGGAGGTTCCCCACTGGGGGCGTCATGCTTCCACGCCTTAGAAGCCAGTCACATGAGTGGACTTACAGCCACTCTTTGTGGGGGAACTTTCTAAGGCCAAAGGGAAGGCTGCATCCCTAAATAGATTTTTATATTAATTAAACCTTGTCATCAAGGTTTTCCAACTGTTCCTGGTTTTATTACAAAGTCCAGACCTGTCTTTCCTCGGCTGAGGTTCCTCAACTCTCCACCTTCAGCACGCCATGTAGGGGTTCAGGCTACTTGCCCTTCCGACAGCAAGGCCCGGACATTAGAAGCCCAAAGGGGATAAAGTACACAGAACAGTCCCGGGATACCATCCGGGAATGGAAGGTTCTCAGAAGCCTGCCCCCTCTATTTATAAGATAATGCAGAACACGCAATGAAAGGATCCCTGATCTGGTCACAGAGAAAGCTAGCCAGAGACAGGTGGCTGGCAGGCGCCTCCCACACCCCAAGTGGTAACTCCCTGCGTCCGTGGGACCTCTGCGTGCCTTGCATCCCCACTGCCCAGAGGTCCTGGGTGATCTTCCCTCCTCCCTGGAGACAGGCAGTGGCACGGCCCCCTGGGAAAGGTGGACAAAGGACATCGGTGCTGAAGTCAGGAGAGGTAGGTGTGCATCCTGCGGCCCTGTCCCACACCTTTCCAGCTCTCCGAGTGTGGACAGGTTAGCTCAGCAGCTGACCTCCACACCAAGAAGGTGGAGGAGGAAGCTGGCCTCCCAGGGAGGCTGGGAGGGTTAAAGGCAATTGCCCACTAGAAGGTGGGGCACACAGGAACAGCCTTCCCTTGACCCTGAAGAATATGAAGTCAGGGTTTGGATTCTGTAATGGGACTTGATAAGAGAAGTGATGATGGTTCTTCTATTAATTGTCTTCAGAAACTCATCGAGCCTTGATTCCTAGAATTAAAAGGGGCAAAGTGGCTTTGTCTTTGGAGACCATCTTTTTCACTCTCATTTTTCAGAAGGCCCAAGTTCACACCAAGAAAACAGACTAGGGGGAGGCTAAGAGGCAAACACGAGCTCTGATCCTGGACATCACAAAGGAAAGGGAGGAAGAAACCAAATGTTCAGAGCTAATGTTAATTAACTCATTTCTCTTTTGCCCTTTCTTTATTGTTCCTAGAAGCAATTATGTGTCTCCTACCCTCTCTCCCACCTCCAACCCCTGCATAAAACTGTCACAGATTAAATCAGATTGCTCAGCCATTTCATTAGGGAGACTCTGGCTCTCGGTCTCTGGGGGCATTTTTACTCGCTCAAATGAAAGCCTCTCGCAGAGAAGTTAACTCCTTCCTGGAGAACACAGGAAGCCAGCAAGCAGACCACTCAGGGCTGTTGAGACCTTTCTCCGAACAGCACGGGGTATGGTGGCCTGGTGCGTGCATGCTGACCCGAGACCGAAGAGACCAGAGTGCGAGAAACAGGGCAGAGGGAGTGTGTCAGACCTCTGGGGACCTACCCGACCTTTCGCATGTCACCACCCTGGGTATGTTTCTTTTCTTGGAAGGACCTCAGTTTTCCCGACTGAGAAATGCAACCCTCAAGCCTTTCTTTTTCCCGTCCCCGATTCCACAAATCCCCCCAAATCCCACACGCGTGCTTGAGAAGAATTACAAAGTTGTCGGGAGGGAGTGAAGTCGGAATTCACTTTGATAGATAACAAAGTCTTTTCTTCCCCGTGACTTTACTGGAGCTGTGGTTGAAGGAAGGAGAGGGTGGGACGTGAAGGCTGCAGGCTGTTGCCCAGAAGGGGCTCCGAGCGAGAAGATGGAGAGGAGGGCGGGGCCGGGGGATGTCTGCGGGCTGGGAGCTGACACCCAACGTGGGGCCGGGGTCAAGGCACAGTCCCTGGTGGTTTTTTTTTGTTTTTTTTTAAGATTTTATTTATTTGACAGAGAGAGAGAGAGCGAGAGCAGGAACACAAGCAGGGGGAGTGGAAGAGGGAGAAGCAGGCTTCCCGCTGAGCAGGGAGTCCGATGTGGGGCTCGATCCCAGGACTCTGGGATCATGACCTGAGCCGAAGGCAGACGCGAAACGACTGAGCCACCCAGGAGCCCCAGTCCCTGGTGTTTAACTGATGCTAGGTGCAAGTGTTAGGCCGCAGGGAAGAGAACGGCATTGCTGGGGTGCACTGTGGTGTGGGGACACGTGGGAGAGGAAGAGGGATGAGGCCAGCATGAGTGTTTCAGAGTTATCCCCAGACAGAAGGCCTGCAAGACCTCTCCCCAGCCTGTCCTGAGAGCTTTCTCCAGGCCTTAGTAATGACAGTCAGGGAAGCTGACGTTCTGGGGTGACTGGTGGGCTCCAGGAAAGCACAGGGAGCAGGACAGAGTGGTAGAGGCCTCTGCGGGACATCTCTGCATAGCACACAGGGGCACAGCTCCATGGGGGAGAGCCAGCGCCTCAGAGTCAGAGGCAACTTCCTTTGCTCCTTCCCCGGACATGCGTGAGGTGGGGCCTCAGAGGTGGCCCGAGTTCCCCGTCGGGTGGGTGGGAACACAGGGGCCGGCCTTTCTCCAGGTGCTGGCTCAGGGCCCAGGACCCAGCTGCAAGGAGTGAGGCTCCCAGCCACTCCACTGGCGTGGTCTTTTGAGCCCTTTTTAGGAGCACGTTTTCTTGAGTGCCTACACCAGCTGAGGAGCTGGGGATAAGGACAACTTGTCTCTGCCTCCTAGAGCAAGGGTGATGCTGTTAAAACCTGCCGGGCTTGCAAGAAGGGTCCTGCCAAGGTCAAAGGTGTCCCTTTGGCTGTATGGGGTCAGGGGAGGGGTGGTAAGAAGGGGAAAGGAGGGACTTATACCCAGAGGGGCCACACCCTAGAACTATCTCTGTTGTTTTCAGTCAACAGGATCAGAAGACGGGGTTCTTAACTTTGAATGTGTGATCCATTCCGACCACACTTTCTTGGTGCATTTTAGACTTAGAGTTCTTGCAAGTTTGTAATTATCTTAGGAAGAGCACAATTATAAATGAACTATTTGAGTTACGACTGATGAACTATTCATGTAAATATTTAAAATATATTAACTTTCAAGCAAAACTAATTTTGGTTTTTCTTGTTTCCTAGTACACTAAATATCCCACCTGCCCACCTCCTCCTCAGTAAATTAGGAAGTGATACAGACTTCCCTCAATCTCTGGAAGGCCTTGCCGAGAGCACAGATCTTTCCAGAATCTGAATATGCGGTGCATAGAGGAAGGATTTAAGACCAGGGTGGGGGTTGGGTTAACAGACTTCTGGACCCTTTCAAGCTACTCAGTTCTCTACCCAAAACTGCAGACAAAGAAAGGGGTGGAGTATAAGTTTGCAGATGGGCAGCCCCAGCTGGGGGACCCTGCCCTTCCATTCTCCTCCTTACCCCCAAGAGACAAGAAGGGCTCTGACTATGGGTGGGGCCTTCTTCTCTGTGCTTCAAGGATCCCAAGAAGACACATTTTCTGTGATCGCCCTAAGCTCCCTTCTAAAACGCTTGTACAGGGACCCAGAGTTTGAATGTTTATCATTATGGACAATCTGAAAATACACTATAAATTGCAATCATCAACATGAATTTTAGGCTAGGCCACGCTCTCAGTGCTTCTTGTGCTTTATCTGTTAATTTTGCAGCCACGACTGAATGTTGTTTCATGATCATTCCCTGCAACAGGCAGGCAGAGGTCCATAACTTGCCCAGAGGTCACCACGCTCGGACGCACAGAGCCAGAATGTGAACCAACATGGAACAAACTGGAGGCTCAGCCTCAGCAGTTCAAATCCGTGCTGTGTGACCTTACCCTCCTGGGGACTCGGTTGCCTTCACTGAGAAATGGGGTGAGGGATGCAGGGACTTGACAATTATCAGAAGTTGCAGCGGATGTGTGAACGGGGCACGCCGCAAGCATGCAGCGTTGGTATGGAGTTTCCCTTCTTCACCGTGGGTTAGAGCATGTGCAGAAACGAACGCAGGAGAAAGTTGGCGCAGAAATTACCCTTTGCTCAGCCCCCCTCTGGTTGTCAAGCTGGTGCTTCCTTGGGTGTCAGGTGCTCCCGATTCCCCATGCATGGGGGTTGGGAGGGGGTCCTGAGTGGGGGAGGGAGGGGCTGCGGCCCCCCTGAAATGCCCCTCACCTTGCACACAAGCACCGCTGGTTGCTTTCCGCCAGCCAGGGCTCGGAGTAATGGAAACTTCTGCGACCAACAGCATTCGCTCACAACTTCCCTCTCTGTGGTTTTCTCTGTCATTCCCTTGATAAAAGACCCAGGGCTGAGCAAATGTAACCAACATTCACGGATCTCAACTTCACATGAAAACACCCGCCCCTCAAGAAGTGAGCTGCTGAAGAGGGATGCACCATGTACTCTAAACTGGGTCATTCCTCACCCAGAGGGCTCGGTGCATGGCTGACTTGCTGTGTGTATCCCCTGTGCCGTAGGCTTCGAGCATCTTCGACAGCCCAGGGAGACAGAGCGATGGGAAACAGTATGCGATCCACCCCAGCACCTCCCGAGAGGCCTGTGCCCAGCCCAGATGGTAAGTCTGGCTTCTTGGCTCTTGGGTGTGATGCTTAACTCCATCGTTCGAGAGCCGGGGCCAAGACCGAGCGACCGGGGCTGCTGACAGTTGGTGAAACAGGGCACGGGGTGCAGAGGCACTCATGGTAGCTGCCTCTCTCACCTTGCTCGTGGTTAGCATTTCAAAAGATTGAGCAGTGGTGCCCTGAGTGGCTGCTGGGCGGCTGGCTTGTGTGGTGGGCCTTTGAGAACAGCTCTTTCCACCTTTATTTGACAGGTGGGGAAACTGAGGCTCACCAAGGAAATGTGATCCGCTATGGGAAGAGTCAGATTTTCAACCCAGGCCAGTCTGATTCTGAAAGCTAGGCTCTTGCTTACCACACCCTGCCAGCCAGCCATGCTATAATATTATCGTGAGTTTAATATTATCACAGCTCTGCTGAAGCTTTTGCTGTGCAACCTGATGAAGCTAGACACTAGCTCGAGGAAATCTTCCGGAAAAGAAAGGAATCCTGGCTCCCCTTGGTAGGATCACAGGGCTAGCCATCCTAGGGGGAGGGCACAAGGCCATGGCTTATGCAGTGATGACAGAAGTCAGCTTCCCGTGGCGCTGCCGGGTAGAGGCGGGTTCCTGAAGCCGAGGAGCCCTTCAGAAACTGGCCAGAGAGCCCTAAGAGGACATCAGCAAGCAGGGGGCAAAGGCTGAGAGCAAAGCTCCTTTTGCTCTGGGTGGGGTGGCGGCAGCGCACTGTGTGGGTCCTTGAGGGGCTTGGGAAGGAGATGGTCAGGAGGTCCCTCAGGGTCCCCAGGGTGAGTGCCCTTGGGACATTTCCACCTCCTATCTGACGTCACAGTGCTGGTGCTCGGTCTCCCTCTGCTAATGCCCCGCGTCCCCTGCGCCCCCTGCAGCCCCACACCCTGCAAAGTCCCCACGCACAGATGGCCACCATCCTGCCTGCTGAGAGTCCGCCGTGCCAGGCGCCTGTCTCTACTGCTCATTCCACTACTTCTGTGGCCCCTTCAGCAAGGAGGCGCCTTCTCATTGCTTCCAGAATGGAGACACCAAGTTATACATGGTCTCGGGATCCCTCGGATGCTCCCAAGGGAGCAAGCAGAGACCCTGCAGCCCATTTCGGTCCCCAGGCAGGGCCACTCTAGTGGCTGTTCCAACGCCCCTCCTTAAGCCTAAGCGGGGAAAGATGAAAAGAACATTCTCCGGGACAAAGGAGATGGAGCCATGTGATGAGGTGGGGCAGCCGGCGCGCTCCGGGGCCCCTCTGCCTCCCATGCAAAGCTCAGAACCAGGTGTCGGCCGGGCCTCCTGCTGCCTGGGCCCTTCTCCCACCTTCTCCAAACAACTGCAAATCACAGCTTCCCCTTCTGGTCATGGCTGCTTGAGGAAAACACCCAGGGCCCACCCCGGCTCGGGAGACACCAACCCACCCACCCACCCAGCGAGGCCATTTTGTACTGCAGCTTCTCGCCCCGGGGCAGGGGGGGCGGCATGCTTGAGCAAACCCCATGAAAACACGGGTCTCCAAGGGCTCGCTCATTTGCCTTTAGTTTTTGAATGCAAATTCTCATGAAATAAGTTTCTCTTTTTCCACTGTGTGGGTGGTGGGAGGTCACCTCGAAAAGGGAGGTAGAGGGGTCTCCCCAGCCCTCCACCCCCTGGTGAAGAGAATTCCCCAGGTCGGACCCAGTGCGTGATCCAGGCAACCACATCAAGCACGAGTAGCTGCCTTTTCCATCCCCCACCTCTGAAAAGTTTCCCCTGTGATCAGTTGCAATTTGATTTCCCTCCCCCCTTTTTTTTTCTGCCATCCACTCGAAGAAGGGAGAGGAAAGTGGCTGCAGTGGGTGCTGCATTAATTAGTCAGTCTCTAGCCGATGGATGCAGAGGGTTCGGGTTTTCATGGAACATGCACCCACTCAGCTAACACTCATGCTTACTCATTTGGTCAGGCTCCAGCTCCCAGGAAGTAGTGCGGGGAGCTGAGGGCTTTAGGCCAGCAAACAAGTGGAGCTTCCTCTGACATTAGCCTGAGTGGTGGAGAATGAAAGTCACCAAAAGCCCCAGGCCCTACACAGGGATCAGCAGGAAGCCTCACCTGTAAACTGCTAGACAGACACGTTTTCTGAGCTTTTAGGAGTGTATTGTTCCTCCTAGCGAGGACGGTGAATGCCTTGGGATGTGGCTTTGTCCATCTGTTTGCTCCTAAACGAAGCTTTCTAGAACATCCCTGATTACTCCAGTTCCTGGAGACTACTATCACAAAACCCACAGAGGTAGGAGGACTTGAAGAAACGGGGCAGGCTCAGAGACAAATGACCTTGCTGAGCTACTAGTGTTGTGCCTGGAAGCCATTTGACCTGGGGTAAGTCAGTTAGCCTCCCAGAAGAAGGGCAGGGCTCAGCAGTCAAATGGAGACCAGGACAATCCCCTTCTCAGAGCATTGACAGCACAAAGTAGTCGCCTGATAAATGTGGAGGGAATCACTTTTCTAAACTCCACTGGGGGTAACCTGATTGCACGAGGCTCTGTCTAAATGCCTCCCCCCGAAAAAAGCAGGTTTAAAGCAGTCGAATTGGGGGTTCCATGACTTGCTTGCCAATCAACCCACATAACTCATTTTCTCTACAATCCTATCCTTATTTCAGACTCTTGCTCTGCACCAGACACGGACAGTACAGAATTGAGTAAGACCTAGGGAACTCCCATGTAGCTGGGCAATGACATATTTCTACCTTAAATAGAATCTGAAGGTACAATTTTCCCCCACCTTACCTTCTTTTTTTTTTTATTTTCCCCTCTTCACCTTTTATCACCCTGATCTCACTGACAGAGGTCATAATGCAAACCCAGACACTGTTCAGACCCCCTTCTGTGCAAGCATGGAAATCACGCTAAGCGGGGCGTTTACCTAGCACCTAGGGTGCTGCCCCATGGAAAGAAGACATGGGAGGGGCTCTGAGGAGGAAGAAGAGGGCAGGGAGGTCTCTGACCCAGCCTGGCACTTCCCCAGTGAATGATTCTCAGACCACCTGCATCAGAGCCTCCGGAAAGTTGTCAAAAATGCAGATCACTGGGCCCCGCCCCAGATCTGCTCATCAGAATTCGATGATGGTGGAGGGGAACAACCCGTGGAATTTCTTACAAGCCCCCTGGTTTGAGCCAAAAGTTTTCATCCCTAGACCCAACTTTTAGTCCTGCCCCTACTCTTAACACCCGATGAGCAATGAGAGAAGTCAGTTTGTCTCCGTAGGGTCCCTCTGGTCTCACTTGTAAAATGGGATGATGGGAGTGACTCTGTAACGTGCCAGACTTGATTCCTAGTGCTCTACACACATCATTCTCCCTCCTCCCAGCCTCCACAGGAAGTGATCTCTATCACAGACAGTCCAGTGCCCTGGAAGGGAACCTGCAACAGATCTTTGACTAGACCCACCTTTTCCACCTGGGTCTTACTCATCCCACTTCTGGCCCCTGAGATGGTTCTAGGTGGAACGCGATCATTCAACTTTTTACACTGAATGTACAACTTCTGCCCTTGTAATGGAGACCATACAAAATACATCTCGTCCATCAGACCATGATTTCACGGTGCCTAGAATGGGGCTAAAGATTTGTTTTTTTTTTTTTTAAAGCAAATTAACATAAAGAAAGACACTGTTAAGTAAATAGTAGTGCTGGTGGTATTCAGTAGCATCAGGAGAGCAGGTGGCCAGGGACAGAGTCTGCCCCCTCTGCCGCTAGGTGACTGGGTTTTGAGACTAGGCACTCGGCCTGCTACCATGTGCTCCTGAGCTAGTCTCTCCACCTCGCTGTGCCCTCTGAGAGCCTCAAGATCTACTCGGTCCAATCTGCTCCATCTCAGAGATGGGACAGCCAAGGTGTGGGACAGAACAGAACTTGTGGACCACTGTGCCTCACTTTTCAACCCACAATATAGGACCCACGGGTACAACCTATGGTTTGTGGTGATCAACAGAACTTGGTAGATCTCCTATCAGGCGAGTCTGCCCAGCCCCGTCTGATTGGTTAGTTGTGTGTGTATGTTTCCTGTAAAAGACATTGAAAGCAAGGCCTGCTTGGACCCTCTGGAGGCCATGGATTTGGGCACAATTCAAGGGCGTGCAAAACCAGAAGCTGAAAGCACTGGGTTGTTTAGCTCCTTGCCAACCAATTGCACTCGGCTGCTGGTGCCAACTTGGAAACCTCATTTGGAGTCAGCGTTTGTCCCAACCTGTCAAGGAGCAAGCGCTAATTGGGGAGAGCCTGGTAATTACATGCCAAGGAGAGCTCTGTGGCCTAGGGACATGGCCAGGAGCTTCAACAACCCTCATGCTCCTGCTGCAGGTTACTAAACACTCTCCCAGCCTTTGTTTCTTCATTTTTTAAATAAGAATATATATTCTCTAGGGTTGTATGGAGCATTGGGAGTCCTGAAAGGCTGGCTTTGCTAGAGTTATAAATGGAAACTACTGAAAGGTTTTTAGCATTTAAAAAGAAATGGTAATGATTCCAAGAGGCATAATAATGCTAAAAAAGGCCTGTCCTCCTTTGACCAAGTAATATCTGTGGCTAGTGAGTTCTGCCTGGGTCTCCTTCCTTTTTTGGATTCATTTCCCATTTTACACTTTTGTACAGTTTGTTCACTATGACACACTTTCAAGTTGAGCCATCAGTAAATATCTGGTCTTCCGGATTTCATCTTCTGTTCTCACCAAATGGATTTTGTTTTTAGAAGAACAGAATATTTTCAAATTTGCACGTCCAGAGGCTTTTCAAAATTTAGGACACCATTGGCTGAAATTGGTCTTGGACTATGTGATGCTAATCCCACCCATCCCATAAACATGATATTAGCGTCCCCCCCCCCCCGCCCAACCGCCCCATGGAGGTGGGTTCTGTACATACATTGCATCATGAGTCCAACCCCAGTCGTACAGGGTAGATTTTGGTATTTCCCATTTTTATACATGAAGAAATCAAGCTCAGATTGGTTAAAAATAAATCTCTCCCCAAATCACAGAACAATTAAGTGATGGAAGTAGAATTTAAGCCAGGTCTGATTGATTCCAAAGCCCATTCTCTCTTCTGAAAAATCCTCTCTGGGTTTCTTGCCTATGCGAGACACACTTCTTCATTCGCTTTGTTTCCTTATCTTAAATCTGCGATAATCCGGTCCGTGCCTCTCCCCGAGGCCAATCACTTATCTGATTTAATTCCAGGGCTCAGCTCTCCCCAAAACCTGGGGCTCCAGGGGGACCTGACAGTGTGTTCAAGCTCTAGGAGTGAACTTGATTTTCCTACTTTGCGTGTACGCTACCACAGGGCCTGGTAAGACAGGTGGCAGGAATGCACATGAAATCCCTCGCGAAGGACCACACCAAGGCCATCGCTTTTAAGCAAAAGCCCCACCTCGAGGCTTTCTCAGCGACATGGAAGTGTTATAGCTGTAAAAACATCACTATTACGGAAATTCCACAGGAAGCTCCACGCTGGTATTGTGAAATTGAAATTCTCCAGCCCCTGAAGCCTCTTTCCGCTATTGAGACAATTGTTTTGATAATGGGATCGTGGTTTTTGTTTCTGTTTTTAAAGTAAGGAGAGGCGGTTGTTCTGTTTCACAGTCTTCACGGTGAAGCAGACATCAAAGCCCCAACCCCCGCAGAGACACAGGGTCTATTTCAAGGTTCTGTGATGGTCGCAGACAGCAAAAGCTGTGCCTCTCCTTCCAGCCTTGTTTTTCACAAGGGGCTGGTTCTGCGATGACCGCCCACCATGCTGCTGCCACAAATCAGGTCTCCTTCCCTTGGGCTGCGTTAGGCAGTATTTAAGAGCCCAGTAGCACAGGGATGTCTCCTCATCTTCATTCCTTAAACCTGCCCTGAGCATCGGAGATGGGACAGTAGGATCTGGGCGGGGGCTGGAGGACAGCTCCTTGTGGAGTTCACACTCATTCCCCGGGAGTCCTGCAAACTCCAGAATACAACCTGGGTAACTGCTTCAAAGGAAAAGCCTAGAGCTTTACCCTGAGGTGGGGGTAAAGCAAGAGCACCAGACAAACCTCCCGGGGCGGGGGTGGGGGGGTGGGAGGGATGAGAAACGGGAGAGCAGGTGCTTTCCTGGCAGAGGGAGCAGCCTGTCTGTGGGCTCTGAGGACCCGGCGTCCCGGCAAATTGAGAAGAACACGACGGCTCGTCACACTGCTCCTGAGCAGTGGAGACCATGTTAATAAGCGGCTCCTTCATATTTGGGACCACTAACCCAGATTTCCATCATGAAGGTGTCTTCCAACCCCTCTTTTTCCAGACTAAAGCAGGCCGCAGAGGGGAAGGATGCAGCCACACTCAGAGCGCAAAGTCAGCCTCAAAATCAGCCCGCTTTACTGGGAAGCTGACCAGATCCTCTGTGTGGGGCCCCCCTTCATGGGCACCTCAGCTTCCTAGGGACTATACCCAGTTTTGTATTTGCAATTTCCTTTCTGTTCTTTTTCTTAAAGAGGATTTCCAAATTTGCATGAGCTTCATGCCTCACAAAATCTGGATCCACCCTTTATCAGAACTCGGGACTTCTGGCTTCAAGTCCAACTGCAGTGCTGCCTCCTGCTATTGAGCTGGGGTCTGGGCTACACAAGGAAAGAATCCTTTTTTTTTTTTTTAAATCTAGCAAAGCAGAATGGGAGGGAGGGGTCTCTGTAGGCTCCAGGGAGGCTCTGCTGGGTCAACCATTCCCTGGCCAGGCCCTGCTCCTTCTCATGAGGCCTGACTCCTTTCAGCGACTTCAGCCAGCATGAATCACTTTGGTTTCCATTTCACGCCTAAAAATGCTTGCTTTCATCTGCTTTATTGTCTGTGGCTCAGCTTCCCCAAATGAACAATATATCTGAATGTGCTGTTGCATGGTGATAAGTGGCTTCTGATTCACTCTCACACATTCTACTCCTGAAGCTATCTTTGGGTTTACTCTGTCCGGGCACTGGTGAGCCACAGAGTCCCGGACATAGGAGTTGTAAGGGGTGGGGTCTAGAAGTCCCAGCATGGGGGTGGTGTCTGGATCCCAGAAAGTGGCCAGTTTGGGCCACCAAGCCTGCCATGCCCCAGTGCTGGGATTTCTCCTGGTTTTCCTGGGGTGAAGGGGGCGGGTGATGACCCTTCCCATGATTATTTAAGGATTCTCTAGAACATGAGCTCTATTTGAGCAGGCAGACTTGGCTTGCTTTGTTCACCATGTTTGGCCCAGATACTCAATGAACAATTGCTGAGGGAATGAATACATGGTAAGTTACCCAGAATTTTGAGTTCAGATGCCCAGCCAGCAGATGGAGGGATAAACCCAACATCAGAGCAAACAGGTACTGAATCAGCCCATTCTTAAGGTATATTATTTCCCAAAAACTATACCTCGCATCTAATGCACCCAAATTCCAGCAAACCGCTAAGGCTGTATAAAACAGGATTTTGCTTAGTGCCAAAAAGTGAATTCACATATTATCACTCCTTCTCTAGCTGACAGTAAGCTGTACTCACATGAACCAGACAGAATGCTTTCCTTTTCAAAATGTCACTAGAATTACTTTCAATGTACATATGATGAAAAGCAGTTACTTTTTCTCCCACCCCTACCCCAAAGTCCCTATTAAATAGACCCCCAGCATGGTGCCTTATATCCTACAAAGAAGAAGTGCTTTGGGGAGTTTCAGAGTTAGAGTCTTTGAGTCCCGGTGGGTCCTCAGAACTCATGTAGCCCAATCGCAACACACCCTATCCCAGTATGTGAACTATGGGGACCCACAGGCCCCAGGGAGGGTAATAATAAAAGAAGCTTTTATGGCCCCTTATCATTCATGGGGCACTGCTGCATAATTTCATCTCATCTCCAGATGGACCCTGCAGTGAGGTAGCATTAGCCCCACTTTAAAGATGGGGAAATTGAGGCTAGTAGGCATTTGGGGACTTGGGCAAGATGACAGGGATCAGTAGACACAGCGGCAAACCTTCAAGCCAGATCTTGTGACTCCAGCTCAAGGACCTCAGGATCCCCACTTCTCAGAGGAGAATGTCAGGGCCAAGGTGGGCTTGCAAATGGAAGGGGATCACCGACCTTGGGGTTCCTTCGAGCTCCCTGTGCCACCATCCCTGAGGAGAGGAGAGCCTGCTATAAACTGCTGTTCCAAAGCAAGTCATGTATCTCCAGCTGAGAAGTCCACAGGAGGGACTCGTCTTGGCCCTCCCCTCCCCGGGGTGGGTCGCCTTTTGGTTCCCTGTGAAGGAGAACACACCTTGGCTTTGTTTCCCCAGGACTGGATAGCGACTTCCTGGCCGTGCTGAGTGATTATCCATCTCCTGACATCAGCCCCCCCATATTCCGCCGAGGGGAGAAACTACGAGTGATTTCTGAGTGAGTTGGCTTTCCAAATGTTTCACAATCCCTTAAAAAGGGTGAACTCAATTTGAGTGGGAATCGTGAGATTTTAGCTATAGTTGTCCAACTCCACTCGGGCCCTGGTCCTATTCTGAGTTGAGAAATTTGGCCCATACAGCAGATCCTTGGGCTTAATTTTTAATACCGCCAGTGCTCTAAAGTCTTCAGTGGTTCCCCATTGCCTGGTGGGTTAAATTTAAATTCCTTAACTTGGCTTTTGAGACCCTTTACGGTCCAACTTCTGCTTCCCACGTTGGTCTCGTCTTCCACCCATGCAGTGTTGATATTTTCTACCAGTGCAGTGGGGGCTCAGGCAGGAGGACCCGGGGGTCTAAGAAAGCTTCTGATGATAAACAGAAAGTATTGCCTTCCATCCTGCTGTCTCTCCATGACTCAAAATGGGCTATAGAACAGATAGGGGGCTCTAAGCTCCTTTTACTTAGATTCTCATTGATACAGACAAACTATCTTGGTTATATTGCAGGGTGTAATTCCGCATAGTAAACATTTGGTTTTAAAAAGCCCCCAATTCTGACACACTCACTGTGAATCCCCAAAAGGTGGCTAGTGCCAGCTATGTGGGAAGGGTTCTTGGTTAGCTTGGAATGAGGGAGACACTTAAAAAGTATAGTTTCATATGGAGAACTTTGGCCAATGGTGGGTTTGAAAAAGAAACGGCCTTACGTGGCCCGGGTTAAATCTGATTACTCTGTTCATGAGTTCGCTTTGCCACTCACCCGTCCACCCTCTCCTGTCTGTTCTTGTTCTTCCAGCGAAGGGGGCTGGTGGAAAGCCATTTCCCTTAGCACTGGTCGAGAGAGTTATATTCCTGGAATATGTGTGGCCAGAGTTTACCACGGGTGAGTACATTTCTGAAATGGCATCTACGAAGCATGATATTGATGTTAGTGATGGCTGAGAACGCACAGAGAGATTCCGGTGTGGCACCGTGGAAAGGAAGTTTCCAGACAGTCACTCTTACTCTCGCTCAGTCCATAAGGAAGGGTGTCATCTTGGCGAACCCCCTGCCCTATCTGAGACTCGGTTTCCCCATCAGTAAGACAAGGGAGCTGGACCTTTCGGCTCCAATGCTGCATTCCTGGCACATAGCGATACACATTCAGCAACCGTGATCAAAGGGACACAGCTGCTAAAAGTCAGCCTGTCTGGGTTGCAGTCCTGCCTCTGTCCCCTGCAGGCCGTGCAACAGTGGGCAAGCTCCTCAACAGCTCCTGTCTTGGCTTCCTTGCTTCATCTGTCAGACAGAGATCACAATACAGAATGACAGGGGCCAGAATAGATAGTAAGACCAAAGTACAGGGCTGTGAGGATGATGAGGTGGATAGTACATGGGTAGTTCTTGGAACAATGCCCAGCATTACAGTAAGCACTTGGTACATCTTAGCTAGATTCTTATCAAATCCTATCCAGAACACAGAGAACACTTATTGCCCAAAACACTTACGTACCCAACTTGACAAATGCAGAAGTCAGGCCGAAAAGGAGAAATTCGAAAGAATCGGGCATGAGAGAGAAGCAGACAAGCACACTACCTTCCCCTGCAGGTGTGCAGATGGGGGGCTTTGGAGACCAGCACCCCTGGGCTGGAATACGCATGGCTCAGCTCCCTGGCTTCCATGGTAGGAGCCCCCCACAAGTGTCAGGGGAAAGTTACTTCACCTCCTTGACCCCCAGTCTCCTCATCTGGCAAGCTACCAAGGCCAGACCTCGGCATACAGGAAGGAAGAAAGAGAAGCATTACTTTTTTTTATTTGGAGGGGTCCAGAAATAACAGCTTTACACACTCACCCCTGCCGAAAGCAGAGGTAACTGCCTGCGTATTTTGCAGAATGTAACTCCGTGCATTTAACTGCAATGTCACGGATTTTGATTATGAATACCAAAAGCCATTTCTGAGCCAAGGATGATGAAGGGGAGCAGAGGTGGGACAAAAGCAGCTGTGACAGCCATGGTCTGAAAGAGATGTCAGTCAAAGTAACTCTTTCGAGTCAGCTGCGTGTCACTGACCCATCTGCTCATTTAGCAAACATGCATCAACACTTTCATGTTGAAGATGTGGTACCGCATGTTGGCAGGGGCTCGGTGGTGGGGAGCCTGGAGGAGTAAGATGTAATCACAGCCCACTGGAGCTTCCCCTCTAGTAGATGCAATAAATGTCTTTCAAATATCGACTAGGAAGAGAGGCGGTGCAGGAGAATGGTTATGGAATTCGAGGTCCGAGGAAAATGCATTGCAAGTCTAGCTTTACCAGTTGCTGATATGCAGTAACTTGGACAAATTACTTACTCACTCTGACCCTCAGTATCCTCATCAGTGAAAGGGAGGCAAGACTATCCTTCTTAGAGGGTGTATGTGAGGATCAGGTTTCAATGCCTATAATATGCATAATGCCCATAATTAGTATTCATATATGGCTGTCGCTATTGTTTTTCTTGTATTCATTTTTATGAGTGGAATTTCCTGGGAGGATGAATATTGGTCACAGACACTAAGCGCGTATGTTGTGCAGAACTAAAGGGGTAGTTAAAATATTAGGCCGAATCATGATCTTAACACAAAAAGTGCTCTTCGAGGCCAGTACATAAATCAATGGTATCTGATTATAAGTCTATGGTCTTACAACAGCCTCGCAGCCACGGTGCTAAAAGGCCTCGCTTGTGTGCCTTGGGGAAAGCAAAGGCTGTGATGCAGTGAAGCATTAATATTTGCCACAGCATATGCACTAGTTCAGACCTATGGATTAAAAGCCAGGGTTCACTCCCTGAAATACGGAGACTGTTAAAAAGGAGGTATAATTGCTTCTGAGTACAGTCCAGCCAAGTGCTAACGAAGCATTTTCTTCCACGCTGGGATCTGTCTGAGGCTGTTCTGAAAAATGAGGAAGTGCCCACTTCCTTAGAACACAGATTCCTTTGTGCATGGAGCTGCTTCCGAAAGCATATTCAAGAGTGTGGGCTGTCGTATGGAAGGTGAACATTCTGTTGGAAAGTTGGACCACAGTGTTACAACTGCTTTTTTTTTTTTTTTTACTGTTAAGTGAAAAAAAAAAGCAAGAAATACAGAAACACGTGTCAATGCATCGTGCAATGACAACTTTGTTTAAAATATGTTGAACAAGAGAAGATAGGAGGGGAATATAATGAATGCAATGTGGGGCTTGTTAAGTTGGTGGAATTATGCACCACCGTGTCTTTCTTGTGCCCATTTATTCATTCACAGATACACACCAAGCTCAATACCCTGGACACAAAGACAAACCCAAACAGACAGACATAGTCACTGCCCTCATGGGGTGGTGAGGGAGCGGTGGGGAGGCTACAATATAAGGCAGAGACCTTAAACAAAATGCCAAACCTTATTGCGGTAACTTATCGAGGTTTAGCACGCTTCTATGTCATATAATACAGAGTGGGTACGGTCTGGCTGGCATTTGAGAACAAGATGAGAAAGGTATTTTATGCATCTTTGTGGCCTCATTGTCTGATGTAATACCTGGCGTGGGGTAGGCACTCAGGAATTTTATCTGAATGATTAAAAGAAGGAAGGAAGGGAGGGAGGGAGGGAGGGAGGGAGGGAGAGAGGAAGGGCCAATTGCCCACCTCTTTTGAATCCCAACAGTTTTATAGGAACTGGACCTTGCTCTGAATTTCAGCACCACCTGCCTGGTTGGGGGAAGGTGTGCTCAGGATACTCATGCGTCCCTTCCCTTCTATTTCCCAGCTGGCTGTTTGAAGGGCTGGGCAGAGACAAGGCAGAGGAGCTGCTCCAGCTGCCAGACACGAAGATGGGCTCCTTCATGATCCGAGAGAGTGAGACGAAGAAAGGTGAGTGGCCTCCGACTCCCCTATCCATGCCGGGGCTGAGAGCAGCAGGTTTTGTTCCGGACTGATTCATGACACGGCTCATTTTGCCTCCTCCCACAACACATGAAAACCCATCCGATCTGGTGAGCTCCCTGCAGCCCACACACCCCCGGAGAGGCCAGAGTGAAAGCTAGGGGCCCAGAGCCAGGGAGCGGGGAACCTGGCAGGGTGAGGCCACGGCCAGACTCAATGAGCCCTGCAGGCTCCCGCTGCGAAATGTCCCATCAACTGGGAAGCAAAACAAAGAGCAGGTGTAGGCAGCACTGGGCCCGAGTGAGCAGGCTTGGGACTAGGCCCGGCCCACGCTCGCTAGCTCTGTGCCTTGGGCGGGTCGTTTACTTCTCCGAGGGCAGTATGTTCATCTGGGGTGCCATATGCAATCATAACTACGTTTATAGTGCTCTTGCTACACAGGAGACCTTCAGCACTGATTTCCACTGTGCCCTACGATGAATTCAGGCATCTTAGAGAATCAGGACAGGCAGATGTATGCCCTTACTTACGCACTATGATCATTATCGTTACAACTTCCTTATGTCTTACACATTAAGTAATTCAGTGAAAACAAAATAGCTGGACTCTTTGTCATGGTTCAGAACAAGGGCTCTGAATTCCAGTTTTGGCTGTATGCATTACTGACAGGCACCTGTCTCACTAAGCCTGGGTACCCTTTCCTAGAACAGGGGATTGACACTAGGAAGGTACTTAGCACAATTTCTGGGGTGTGGTAAGCACTTTAACTCACAGGAGCAAGACCCTTCCCAGTTAGGGCTTTCCCAGACTAACTAAGAATAACACCATTTTAAAAACAAAAGATACATTCAGGTTCTTAGCCTGCTTCTTGTATCCTCAATATCAGAGAAGAGGAAATGCAACATCTGAGAGTATTTCCCACATACCTACTAAGGGCCAGTACATTTTGGAGCTCGAGCCCTTCACCAAAATTAGCATCAGCCTTACTGTGGAGAAGCAGGGACCATCTACCTATGGTTAGAAAATTCAAGAACAACTTTTCTCTCAAAAACTAATGTGCCAGGGGAAAACAAGATCAAAGCAAAGACCACATTTCCTGTGCATGCCCTGGCAGTCCCCAGAGGTGGGAGACCCAGACTCAGATAGGACTTCTAAGCTGGCATGGCCAAGTGAGGGAGGAACCCAGCTTGAGGTTCCAGAGCTGATCTAAAAATAAAGACGCTTTCAGGCAGATCTGCAGCTGAGCTGGGCCGGGGCTGGGCTGGGGGTGGGCGGGTGGCAGGCTCTGCTCCCTTGGGTATGCAAAATTCTGATAATTTTCCACCTGCCACCTTTGACCTGCTCACCATACTTCCAGTTCCTGTCAGTGTTATAGGAAGATGCATGTTGGGCTTCAGAGGGCAGGCCTGGGGCAAAGGTAGGAATGCCCATCAGGACAAGGGTCAGACCCCAGATCTGCCATTTCCAAGCTGCGTGCCTCTGGCCATAGCACTCAGGGGCTCGGAGCTTCGTTTCTGCATCTGTAACATACCTGGGGACAGCACTTGGAAACAGCTTAGCCCAAGAGCAGCCCGGAGAGGCAGCAGAGACTCAGTAAATGCTCATGTCCTTCACTCACTGTCTTGTGAGTGTTTGCACTCCTGGGACCCAAAGGACAGAGCAGAAGGCACCTAGGTCCAAGTCTCCCACTTTCCACTTGGGAAAATCGAGGCTAGGAGAGGAGAAGGTGCTTGCCCCAACTTCTGCCCTTCCTAACCCCTACTGCATCACTACCTTCATGGTGCTTAAGGAGAAATGGCATGTTGGACATGTTTCTTAGGGATACCCAGAAAAAGTCTTAGCTGCTCCTTTTTCCAAATTTCTGAGAAAACCAAGCATAAGGCATAACCAAGAGGGAGCAGGGACCAGAAAGTGGTATGACGTGGTGGCTTTCCAGAAGAGGATGTGGAAGCACCTGGAATGGTAGGCTCACAGAGCAAAGACTAAGCAGGTGCACCTAAAAATCTGTGCGGCTAATGTGGTGGGGCCGCTAAAGGAGCGCGCTCCTGGGGTCTCTGCAGAGTGAGTGCAGTCCCTGAAGACGGGGTGCTAGCAGCTGCTCCTCCAAACACAGGAGTGCACATCTGGGTATTCTCCTTGTATCCCAAGGCTGAGGGATTCTCTCCATCGCCGCCCTCGGCGGGGACCACGTGGGACACCTCTGACCCGGCCCCCATCTCCCACAGGTTTTTATTCTCTCTCGGTGAGACACAGGCAGGTGAAGCATTACCGCATCTTTCGCCTGCCGAACAACTGGTATTACATCTCCCCGAGGCTCACCTTCCAGTGCCTGGAGGACCTGGTGAATCACTATTCCGGTAAGAAGCACCCCATGGGGACAGATCAATGAAGCCCCTCTTGGTTAACTGCCCCGTGGTGCCTGTGTCTAGGATAGGCACGGGTCCCTGATTTGTGCCAGGTGACTGACTTGGCTCTCACCCTGCTCCCTTAATCTGCTCTTTTCTTGTTAATGCAGACTGTAGGTTTCAAGTTAAAACAGGCTGCCTGCGAAGGCTGCGCAAGTAGGTAAAATGCAGCTAATCTCGACCTCACCCTCACCCTCTTTCTACCTGCAGATGGAAAGAAATAGAATACCTCAATATTTGCAATGGCAAACCCCTGAGGTTTTGTTTGGAAATGCCACTCATGTCCCTTCCTGCCTGGCAAAATCCTCCTCAGCCTTCAAGGCAACAGGAAGCCACCTTCTTGATATGTGCTAGGAGTCAGGATCAAATGCCTGTCTTCTCAGCTCCCATAAGTGCCGGCCTTTCCCTCGAATGGGGTCCCTCTGCCTCATGACCGAGTGAACTGTGTCCTAGTCTGGCTTTTCTGGCAAGCTCTAAAGACCGGGGCTGCACTTTGTTCCTGGAGATGCTTCTCCAGGCCCAGGAGGGAGGTCCCGGGTTCCACAGCGCCAGGATGGGGAGTGCCCTCCAAGACGGCAGCAGCAGAGAGGGTTTTGATGGAGGTGACAGGGAAGAGTAGAGTCAAAAGAGGAGATCAGAGTTAGACTGTGACAGGCCTGAATGCCAGGTCAGGAGGTGACATTTTACCCATGGGATAAGGCGGAAATAGTAAAAAGTTGGCTCTGGAACCTCTGCGTTCACATCCCAGATCTTCTGGGCAACCCCGGGGCTTGTTGTTCACCTTTGTGCCTTGGGGTGTTGTGAGGAATCCTCGGGATGGTGGAGGGAAAGCGCTGAGGGGAGGGCCTGACATGTAAAGGTGGGCTCCTGCTCACATTGGCCGCTGTCCCCAAGACCACGACTTCTCCTTCCTCCTCCCTTCCCCTGCCTGTTAGAGGGAGGAAGAAGTTGCTCTCACGTTGTATGTGTCTTCCCACTTCCGGTTCCAGACCTCACACCCCTGGGTATCTTTGCTAGCATTCTACAGGGTGTGGGGTTTTGAAGGGCGTTTCAAGGTGAAAGGAGCCCACAGGGCTTGGGTTATCACACCTGCCCAGTGAGAAGAAGGGCAGGACATAGAGGTGGAATGGTCTCTTGGGAGACACAGGCCCAAGCTCGGAGCCGGGCTCTGGGAGACATTGGGAAGAGACCTCCATCTCTCAGCTGCAGCACCCCGTTCATGCAAGGTGGATGCGAACAGCCCCCTGGCAGGTGGTGGCAATGACTGGCTTGTTCATGTAACGTGTACCCTAATGTAGTGTAATTACGGAATGGGGCAAATGCAAAATAAGTGCTACCAAATGTTACTTCTTTGATGCCTGGAAACCTAGCAGCTTAGCTAAAAATGAAAGAGGAAGGGAGTCCTGGAGATAGTCAACTTTTACTGATTATGAGTAAAGGTTGGTTGTGGTATTTGGCTTTTAATAACAATCATCAGAGGGGTGGGGAGACCATAAGTTTTGCATAGACAAAAGCAAACATGAAAAGGATGCTGCTCCAGCAAAGATTGTACAGACTGGGAGACCCACGAGGCGTCCAGGCCAAGAGCACCCAAGCGGCTTGCCCCAATGCAAGAGCATTGCCTTCCAAGAAATATGTCCCTGGCCACTGTGTCAGGGGCTTCCTGTGCCCCTGGGGACCCCCCAAATGGAAACAAGGTGGCCAGTTTTACCTCCCTCCAGATTCTACACAGAGACACAAAATCAGAAAAATTTTGTGCTAAGGGCTCTGAACAGACATCTTAGTGTTCCAGGTGGCTTATATTTATTACCTGGTGCCTTGGGAAAATTCATTAACATCTTGGAGCCTCAGTTTCTTCATCTCTAAAATGGGGACTTCAGTCCCCATGCCTCTTATGAGACTATTGTTAGGACCAAACACAAAACCATGAGTGTAAAGGTCTGGTCCCTAAAGATCCCATGCATGGTGGTGACTGAGAGGACAGAGGAGGTGGGGCACAAGTCCCCAAATATGGCCAGGAAAGCAAAGGGCTGAAAAGGGGGACCCCTGAATGTAGAGTGGTTGGGAGCCCAAGTGTGTGAGAGGAATAAGCGTTCTGGAAAATTCTACAGAGTGGGGAAACTGAGGGGAGTGTGTCCAGACCTCAGAGGCAGATAGGACCTCTCTCTCCCCCATTTTGGAGGTAATGGATTGCCTTCGGAACAAGTATCTGGTTCCGAGTCGATGAGGCAGGTTCGGATCACATCTCTGTGACCTTGAGCAAGTGACCTGAGCCCAGGGATCCTCCTCCAAGTGGGCGTAAAAATACTGCCGCTCAGAGCTGCGGGGGCCGCGCTGAGATGAAGCGTGGGGGTTAGCTGAGCACTGAGCTCAGGTGGGGTGCTGGAGGTGTTGGTCCTTTTACTCTTTGTGGGGATTCTGGCTCGCCCTCAGGGTTAACCTCTCACAAACCCCCTCCGCCCCGTGCTGTCTCCTGGCATTGGTGGCTTCAGTCTGCGTCCAGCTCCGTCTCCCTCACCTCTTAACCTGGGAGGTCGTTTCAATTTCCAGCCCAGGACAGGGCATTATTTCAGATGCACATCCAGTTAAGCTCCCCCTAATCTCAGGGTCCAATCTCGCATTTTTCGACCAGTGTGGGTGGACATTTGAGTTCACGGTGAAAGTCAGACCAAACACCAAGAAACAAGGCATTATTGGCTGCCACACTCTGCTAGCCTGGGTTTGCTTCTTCAGCTACAACCTCCTTTTGTTCCTTGGCAAGAGCACCCAGAGCTCCCTAAATAAGTTGGGAGGTGGAGACGGCCAGAAGTAAATGTGCTCCCTTAAACCTGGCCAGGGGGCTCTGTCCTGCTGCAAGCCAGCAATGTCTCATGTCCTCGGCCACTCCGTGCCCCCTGCACTGGGGTCTACAACCTGAACAAAGCCACACTGGATTTTCTCTGTCTCTAAGAACGTTTGAGGGGCGCCTAGGAGGCTCAGTCAGTTGGGCGTCTGCCTTCAGCTCAGGTCATGGATCCGGGAGTTCCAGGATCTAGCCCTGCATTGGGCTCCCTGCTCAGCAGGGGGTCTGCTTCTCACTCTGACCCTCCCTTGTCTCATGCTCTCTGGTTGTCACTCTCTGTCTCTCAAATAAATACATAAAATCTTTAAAAAAAAAAAAAAGTCTGAGCACAGCCAGAACCAAAGCTTTCCCACAGCCATGGGAGGTGGAGGCTAGAACCTGATGATCCTGGGGAGATGAGCGACCCTGGGAGGGATGTTAGGGGGAGGGGAAGCAATGGATTATTTAATTTTCATTCTCTTTGTGCATGAGCATCCAGGCTAGAGAAGAGAGATACTTCTTCATTTTTTCCTTTGTCCACTTTCTCTTGCTTGCCTTTATCTTTGTCTAAGTCTTCCTCCTTTTCTGGTGTCCTTTTTTGTTCTGTGTTTACTCCCTCCTCCTCCCTCCCTCCCACCTTTCTTTATTCCTGCCCTCCTGCTCGCTCCCTCTTCCTTCCTGTTTTCTTTCTGGGCGTGTTCTATTCTCCTGTCTTCCTGCACATGCATGAGCCACCTGTGCACGAGGAAGCGCTGTTCCTCGGACTTGGACCCCACCTTGCACATGGCACACGTGATGGAGCCATGCTCGAGAGTGAAACCCTAGAGGCCGGGCCTCCTGTCAGCTGTTCTCACTTGTTAGCCTGTCCTCTCAGTGTGTGGTCCAGGAAACTGAGGCTCGGAGAGGGTCAAAGGGATTCACAATCAGGGGCGTAGTTGAAATCCAAATCCAAGTGTAGTTGATCCTGGAGCCAATTTTTTTTTTTTTTTTTTAACCGTTATGTAGTCAGTTTTATCTTTTTTTTTTCTAATCACACTTTCTGGTTTGAATTTCATTTTCTAAAGGCTCCATGACAACATGAGGTTATACAAAGATGGTAAAAGATTCAAGAAAGTCAGTCAACATTCCTAGCTGCTACGGCCTCACTTCCCATTTAATCCTTAACCTATGCTAATTCAGATGTCCTTCTCTTCATTTCCTGGCTGAGCAGCCACCTCTTTATCTTCCACAACTAGAGGCTAGTTTCTAGAAGGTGTCTTCCCATTGGCCCTTCCCGGAACTTCCATCTCTTGGTTTTTTTTTAACTTTTTTATTGTTATGTTAATCACCATACAGTACATCATTAGTTTTTGATGTAGTGTTCCATGATTCATTGTTTGTGCATAACACCCAGTGTTCCATGCAGAATGTGCCCTCCTCAATACCCATCACCAGGCTAACCCGTCCTCCC